TTGAAAAGGTGCTGGATTCTTGGCCAAGATGGGGCAAGTTGGAGTATCTTGTTCATTGGTGCGGCTACGACATTAATGAGCGAACGTGGGAGCCAGCTGAAAATCTCACCAATGCGCCACAAAAGGTACAAGAGTTTCATCAACAACATCCTCATAAACCTAAGCCGGTTCGACAATAGCTTCTTTCTGAAGCTTGCTCATCCAAGAATATAAGAAAGGGAGAAAGCACCACCAAAATTCGTAGTTGGTGTAGTTATTTTCTCCAAGATAAAATAGAATTTTTTCAGTAGCCATAGTTTGGTCTTCTGATATGGATAGCTAAGAGATAGATACTATGCCAGTCAGATTATCTCAACCAACTAGTTCACGAAGGTGACCCCGAGATGAAGAACCACCTGTACCACGGCAACGACGGAGGATACCAAGTAACCGATCACTGGTGATTGTATTTGAGTCCGAGCTTGCTTACGATGGTCAACCAGAAGGCATATTTGTAAGACAATTTCACAATGAAGACACAGAAGTTCATGCTTGGTCAGAAGTTGAAGGAGTGGGCCACTACCGTTGGCTTCAAGGGCCGATGAACCACTTACCTCGTGAACAATAGTTGGAGTTCATAGTAGACGTTATGCGACAGATCTTCATTTTCTTGCGTTGGTACTGATTGACAACAACATTGCTTCTCAGAGACCTCGAAGCTAAAGGAGGGGGTGATGTTAGGGACATAGTCCTTAGAACCTTCTAGAGACAAGCTTCTAGAACCTTCTAGAAGCAAGTCTCTGGAACCTTCTAGAAGCTTCTTAGTTAGTAGAAGATATTAGGGACATAGTCCTTAGAACCTTCTAGAGATAAGTTTCTAGAACCTTCTAGAAGCAAGTCTCTCGAACCTTGTAGAAGCTTCCTAGTTAGTAGAAGTTGCTTGAGAAGCTTCCTAAATAGGAGTATATATTGGGATTGAGGCTGAAGAGTTCTTCAGTCTCGACAACACATCTCTTGGAGCTCTAGCTCACCTCTCTGGTGTTGTTCTTGTATTCATCTGATTAATCTAGTTCTTGCCAGTTCTCCTTGAACTTCTTGGTAGAAATCAAGTCTGTATTCTGTGTCCGTGACAGCTTCATAATAGATATTTCTTTAAAACCAAAAAATTGCAAAGTCTTTGCTTTAATGGATATAGGAGCTTTAGCTTGTTTTTATAGACAAACTTTATTAAAAAACAAAATTATCATTAATCAAAAAAATTACTTGATAAAAATATCTTTTAATTTTTTAAAAATAATATATATATATATATATATATATATATATATATATATATATATATATATATATATATATATAATTGTGGATTATAAAAAAGATTAATTAAATATTTTTATAATTTTTTGTCACATCTAATTTATTTAAAACTATCTAATTAATCAAAAATATTTATAAAAATATTTTTTAAGTATTATAGTTACTTTTAAAACAAAAAATATATGTTAAGATTTTTATTTTTTGAAAATATCATACTCATAAAAATATGTATATAATGTATAATATTTATACTAATTTTATATCATATATTTTTATTCCAAATAATAAAATTTTAAAATATTTAAATGATATTTAATATATATATATATATATATATATAATTTTCATAACAAGATATATTTTATTTCATTAGATTTTGTAATATTTCAAAAAAAAACATCATACATTATTAAAACTAAAATTAATTTATTGATTTATTTTATATAAATAATAAATCAATAAAAAAGATAGATAAAACCTAATCAAATAAATAAGCATTTAATAATTATATTGTTGTATCTATCAATGTTTTTTAAAGGAAAAAATATCTTATAATAATATAAATAACCAAAAAAATGTTAGATTTTTTATAAAATCATATTTTTACTTTTATTAAATTAGATAAAATTTATTTTTATTTTATTTAAATATTTTATTATAATTTCTTCAAACAAATCTTTAATTGAATTTTTTTTTCAAAGAAAAAAATTTACTTTAGACATATCTAAAATTATAACTTTAGATTAGAAAATATAATTATAAAAAAATTATCAAAACCATTTTATTTAGATTAGAAAAATACATATAATTTTAAAGATTTGAATTTTTTTAAAGTAGATTTGTGTTTACATTTTAAAATTATAAAATTTAATTCACTTTTGGCATGGTATAATTTTTTTTATTTTAAAAGTTTTACTTGAAAAAAAAACTATAAAATTATTATATAAGATCTATTGGTATTTTAATGAAAAAAATATCCAAAATTACATGATATATTAATTACAAAGATATAAACTATTTCAAACTCTACTATTCTAAAGATCTATTTTATTTTTATTTTTTTAAATCAATTATTTAATAATTAAAGAGATGAAAAAAGATAAAATGAAAAGTCAATATTTTGAACTTTTATGAAAAAATATATACATATATATAGTGACTTAAAAAACTGTTTCAATATTGACATATTTTAGAAAGAATGGTGTATTACAAATGAATTGTAGTAAATAATAACATGTGGTTTGTATAGCAAATAAAATACTCTTTTATAGCTATCAAATGAGCCAAATTGAAAAGAATCCATTAGATAATTTTAGAATTATAACCAATCCAATTTGGAACAATATTGAAACATTTTTTTGAATGTGGTATCCAATTACATATCAATACTTTGTTAGACATTCTTTGGTCTTGATAACTCTTTCCAACCTCCTTAGCATACTTTCTATTAACTTTTGGCACAAAACTGCTTCAATACTATTCCATTCCATAACTATTCTTTTTCTTAATTCTCAAACTCCATTTGGTTTTATCTTCCAGATGTTCAGCTGGCATTTGATGTGCTTCCAAAGATGTTCAATAGAATTAAGATCAGGAGACTAAGTAAGCCAATTTATTACTTTAATTCCATAATAATCAAATCACTTTTATATTAGTTTTAAGTTATGCTTGGAGTCATTATCTTATTGAAAAATCACCTCCTCCTTAGAAATGCCAAATTCTTCAATGCTAGGGAACAAGTTTTTTTCAAGAATTTCCACAAATTACTAATAATGTTGTTAAGGTTTTTAGCAACGTCAATAGCATTTTCAGCCTTCCCAGTATTGATTTGGCAAATGATTGTCCTTTCATCTACAACAATGAGTTTCTTTGGTCTGCCTAATTTGAGTTTCTTCCTATTAAAAGTGATCTTTTTTGCTAGCTTAGAGATAGTAGCTTTATTGCAACTAAGTTCAAAAGAAATTTGGCTATAAGATTTTTGAGAATGAAGAAGAGCAAAGGTGATTTTGGAGAGAGTAGAAAATAGGTCTCATAGTTGTTCAAGGAATTGTGAAAGATACAAGAATTTAATAAAGAAATATGTTAAGATTAAAGACAAAGAATGAGATTAATATTAAAAGTTGTTCCAAAGTTTCCTATTTATACTATAATGAAGGTTACCAAAGTCTATGGTACTTTCTATAGAAGTTTTTAGAAGTCTAAAGAGGCTTCTAGAAGCCCATGGAACTTTCTAAAAGATTGTAGAAGATTCTACAAGTATATAGAAGGTTCTAGAAATTTATAGAAGATTCTAAAAGATTCTAAAATATGATAATTTGGAATATGTCCGTGCTAGGAATTGTGATTAAGAATGGTGCTTTTATAACTATTAGTAACTATTAATGATATCATTAGATTAGTAATAATATTGTCATAGTAAATTTGATAATGATAGAATGCTGTAATATTCAGTAATTGATAGAATCTAAAAATTAGACACCACATTCAAAAAATTATTTTAATACTATTCCAAATTAGATAGGTCATGGCACCACAATTATTTAATAGATTCTTTTCAACCTAGGCACATTTGGTAGTTGTAAAGGAGTACTTTATTTGCTATACAAACCACATGTCATTATTCACTACAATTCATTTATAATACACCATTCTTTCCAAAATATGTCAACATTGAAATAGTTTTTTGAGACACTACATATATATATGTATATGTATGTATATACATAACATATTATGTACTAATCAATAAGTAAAACTAAAAATAGATTATATTCAAAAATATAATTTTTAAATAATATTTTTATGAATAAAATAAAAATAATATTTTAATTATTAAATATCTTTACTTTTTAAAATATAATATATTTTTTGATGAAAGTTTTATATTATGTACTTTATTAATATTCTTGTCAAGTTTAAATTTTAATTATAAATAGATAAAACCTAAAACCAAGACTTTTATAATAAAGGAAAATCTGAAAGAAGGCAAATCAAATAACCAGATTTATCAATGATCATTGATAAAATTTTACTACAATTTTACTATGATTTTTTGTTAATAATTTAAACAAATTTAAAATCAATACATTATAATACTACCAATTATCAATTAAATTATTTACGAAAAATAAGTATTGTTTAGATAAGAAAAAAATTAATTTCTTTTTAGTTATAGCAACATGCTTATTGCATGTTTTTTGGTAGAAATTTTAGGTAGTGATGAAAATGTAATCTTGTTATATTTCATTGGGACATTTTAAAAATCTTGCAATAAAATTTCAAGATACACGTGATGATTTTTTTAACTATATCAGATGATTCTCAAAACTTCTCTACACAACGAATTGCAATTGATGAAAATTTCTTTTGGAGAAAATAAGAGACCAAGGTTAACTGTTTCTACCTTTTGAAGTAAACAATGATGATAGAAATAGCTTCAGAAGTTCAAGTAATACGACGTACACGCCATCGGTGATTACAACAGCAAATAAACATTGAACATTTCAAATTAAACTTGAGATATGATTAAACTGAAGTCCACATTTAAATCAGCCAAACTTCGCCAATCCATACAATGCAACTTTGGAGATGATTGCATGCAGCATCATTTCAAATTAGGGGATGGAGCTGCGTCTCTTTAAACACAGTTATTCAACATCCTTAAGGAGTTCCAAGGCCCAAAATTTGACGGAATCAGTCGGAAATTGTAACAAAACGACTCCATGACATCTAAATTCGACATGAGTTATCAATAAATACAATATTTGATTTTGAACTGGCTGTAAAACTGACGGTATTGTAGTCAGTTAAAAACTAACAGTATTGAAACAAGGTCCCAGTCAATTCTTAGAATTGCTGATTGAAGAATCTCTTCTACAATATACCATCGTTACAACAGGAATAACTTGCAGGTGATGAGAAACAAGGCGTAGAAATAACTGAGAATATTCCACTCTACAAACTTAAATAGATGATTTTCAATACAATTATACAGAGCTTGCTACTCTCGGAGGCTGGTTGACAAGAGCTACATTTTGAATTGGCACCAGGGCCACTCCCCCACCGTAGATATCTGGGATCTGGTCATTCTCAATCTCTTCTCTTAACTTCTCTTCAATAAGCTTGTCTTCCACAAAAACAATCTGAAAGATCCAAAACTTCTATTGAGTATTTCTGGTATTTAAAATGATTACGTGCTGCCTGTAAATTAGATTATACGCGTATAGACAAGCATACCACGGTTTCAAGCACTAATATCTGGTGAGTCCAATTGCAATCAATTGAGAACTGAGAATATAAATAACCTTTTCCCTTGTGACTTTGTCGATGAAAGGATACACGAGCTTCCATCCTCCCCAGAATACCTTCGGCACATGGATGATAAAGAGCATACCTAATCTCTCTGGGTAGTATGCCTGCAATTTCGTAGCTACCATTGTTAGGACTTGAATTACATCTGACAAAAGAGAATAATGATGAGTGGCAATTTCTTTCCATTTATGACTGCTGCAGCCAATGCGGGCCGCTATAGCTAATATATTATACAATCGGTCGCCATTGTTCGGCACTAATATTCATAATTAGAACAGTCCCAGTTACTCAAATTACATCACTATTTCAACGAATGTACAACAATATGTCCGCAGAGATTGACAGCCAAAACCAAATGGTTTTATAATTTGGTTTCACAGCGATCACTTCGAATCATTTGAACCACTATGAAGCATTCTCAAACTCACCATAATCTCCAAAGGTAGGATAGTAAGGACAAGGCAATTATTATGAAACTAACCTGCAGAAATTCAAATGTAGATATCCACCCTCGAACGTCCACATTTTTGTAACCCAAACCCTTCAGGTCCAAAATGACTGTAAACGTCTCCTCCCCAGGCTTCAAGCTACACGGGCAGTTGATTCAGAAGTAATTCAAGCATCCATCAATTAACGGCGCAAGTACATGAAACTTTCTTGCGCTCAAGTTTAGTACGTTGAGAACCAGCCTAAATAACTGTCTAAGCACTTTCAGCAGACAAGGTAATGAACGAAAAATCAAAATGCATACCAGGCCACTGTTGTGTCAAAATTGAACACACAATAACCTGCACATTGCAACATGTTAAATGCTTGTGACAAAAATAATTCCAAATAATACTGAAGATACTGTGAACTGGCTGAGATAGGATGTATATTATAGTTTATATTGTCTTACAAATACCAGGACAAGCATTATTCACTAAGGGCTAAAAGTTCCTGCCGGTTTTACGATTGGTGGCCAGGTCTTGACCCCTTACTGCAAAGCATGATAAATTACTGCATTTATCCAATGCAATAATCAAAGAGAGAGAAATCTAGTGTGATAAAACTTTACGTATTTTAAAATCGGAAGGAAGCATGGAAATAGTTATGCTAACTCACGTTTAAATTCATCAAACTTGCGTTTGTTAGCATCGTGCTTGGCTGCCATGATGACAACAATAGGCCGACCTTTCTTGTCGTGCCCTTGTAGAAAGACTTTCTCAGCATCTAGCTCGTTCTTAATCTACACGAAGTAAATACCTTCGTAGGGTTATATACAAGTCATAAACAGCAAAAGTTTTCCACAAATACAACTTCAAAGGAGGATAAACATTTCTTCCTAGTCACAGGCATCTTCAGATATGTCGAGATAATCAACCCTAACATCGAAAGAAGAAAATTAAGTAAAAGAAAAAACACGGCGTTGTCATCCTTGACATGTTAGTGATCAAAGAATCACCTCTTCTTTAGGAATATAACCGAGAGGCACAAAAGAACGCCGCCAAGTTTGATGATCCACGAACATTTTGACTGCCTTGGAGAGTTTCCAAGCTCGAGCCCTCAAAAAACGCCTTAGCGTGGCCTCGTCCGTATCCTGAAATCGGAACTTATGCATTTATACTAGACCACGGAACATAAGCGAGCGCAAACTCTCAACTTTACTTCACTTACCCCGACACTTAGATGTATATTCAATTTTTCCAACAATAGAGGATAACATTTAAAAATAGAAGCTGCATCTTCACGTCTCTAAAACAATTGTTGAATAAATAAGTGAGCATCAAATGTACAGTACAGTAAAACACACCTTTGATTCTGGATCCATCTCAGCAATTTTGGCTCTCATCTCTTCAAGAATTTTTAGTTCATCCGCGTTTCCAGCCCCTGCAACCAGGTATTGATATAATGGTTCAACACAACACCATCTATTTATCATTAACACACTCTTCTCACAAATGTAAACTTATGAATTATATAACTTCGGACCAATTTTTCATGGAATGTAAGTATCTCAGTTTATCATTGATACAATAAGTTTACTCTCAGAAGAGGCATTGTAGACAAAGCTGTCACTAAGTTCTAATGACGCACCTTTCTTATCAACAACGGCTTCGGAGACCTCCTCTGTGACTGGAGTGCCCACGACATCGTGATTATCCTCGACTACAGTTGGAGGCTTAGCTTCATCTTTACTCTTTGAAACAGCGTCATACGAACCATTTTGAGGAGCAACGCAAGATGCCGGCAGACTTTGTTCTGTCAAGTCCTTCGGAATAGCTACGTCTTGATTAGACTTAACAGCTGTTTTTTGATCCGATTTACCCTGTGATGACTCATGAACTTTAGAATCACCTTCAGTGGCAATGACAGGGGCTGCTGTTGCCTCGTAAACATCCTTCGCAGATTCAGATATCTCAGAGAGAATTGGATTGTCAGCTTGTGACGCTTCAGCGGCACTGGTTTCTGAAGCTGGGGGTTCATTCACACACTCTGCCTTGCTTCTTTGTTCTTGTTGACTTACCGCCTTGGAAAGCACAACCTCACAATCTTTAAAAGATTCAACACCCGTCGCCGGCGACTCTATATCAATGGGAGCATCCACAAACTCGTCATTGCTCAGTTGCTTTCCTAGCTGACTTTTGACAGAGGCAGTTCCCTGAGCAGCATGATTACTGCTCGCTTCCGTACCATTTGATTCATTCTCTAGTGTATCGCTGACCTTCTACAGCAACCCACGACGAGTGAGTTGGGCACAAAAGTCATAATAGAGGAATATGTGTATGCTGTTTCCGACTATCTAACATCACCCAGCCCGCATTAATTTGCATCTCCAAAGAGAAAACACAAACGTGCTCTGCAGCAGCCAGAAACCAGACCTGGACATTGTCAGGACAATGTCACAGAAGCTCAGAGAGTACTTCGCAAAGAGTTTCCAATCCACAAGCCCATCCGCCTATCCTCAGAAAGATGTAACTTTTATTTTAAATTCAAATTCCTGACTTCTGTACAATTATTTCAACTATGTATTTTTCTATTTAACCGTTTCTGAAAGGCAATCATCAAGTCCCTAACTAGGACATAAATTAGTAAAACATTCAAAATGCACGATTAAATCTCTAAGCAACAACCATCATCAGTCTCTTTACACAGTTTTCGCAATACTATGGCCGGCTGCTACTATTTCAAGACATCACCAGCAACATTATGCAGAATTATGGTGAACATTATTGCAGGCGATACTAGACTCGGTCTGCGGATTCATTCTAACCAGTAGTTGAAAAAACTTCTGGACTCATCAATAGAATTATAATCAATAGGAAAAAATGGACTTGCAGTGAAATCTTCAGCGTTACAGAGAGGGCACCTGCTCATATGCAAAAAGAGATAGTTTTCTATTAAAGAGAAACTTGAAGGAGGAGCTCTTGGTCGAAAACGCAATTGAACATTCTGTTCTTCCCTATGATAAATTTCAAGCTAGTGTGCTGAGATAGACAAAGTTCCCGAGGTCAAGCAACGAAGAGTCAATAAGAGGAGAAAGATCGAGAGAAGAGATAACGCACACAATCGAGTAAAGTACGTTAACACGCGAAACTACTTCGCTCACTTCCTTCGTAGATGTCTGCGCCATCCACATCACAAATTCTGGTCCTCGCTAACTCACACTTCATATGCTAACCCCACACCCCTGAATAACCTCGCATGACGACTAATGCACTGTATCTTGTTGACTCTGGACTGTTTAAAGCTAGTAGTTTTACATAAGTGTCTACGACTTGATCGATGTGGAAAATGAATACGAGGCAGAATGCCAACACTTCAATCCACCAAAACGTCTTCTACATCGCGGCGATGGTCAACAAATTCTTGAAGAGAACTAGCTCAAAACCTAAATCCAAGCCCTTCATTTTGCACTGATCCACGAGTTGACTAATAGCATACATTACAAATGTATATCCTCAAAGCCCTAGTGGCAGAGTATAGAAGGTACTCTTGAGCTGAGCACTTCAGAATACACATGAAAGATGCTGTTGAACTTTCAAACGACGTTCTTAAGAAGGATGATTGTCCGTATGACGCTAGCAACGATGCAATATGTCGTAAATAAGAAGTGGATGAGGCCACAGTCACTTGGACAAGCAAGTCATTAAGTAATGTCGCAGCTAAGTGCATGACATAGAATCCCGACACTAATCCCTCTAAGACGACTACTAAATTTATCCCCTACACATCGACATATCCTGAAAAAAAAAAAAAAAAAAAAAAAAAAAACGAGGAAACAATTCGACACGCTTCAGATCCGAAGCACTTACCCCATGCTCAATTGCTTCCGCACCTTTGGCGGCCGCCGACGCTCCTAACTCACTGCCCTGCATGATTCTGCAACTTGAACGTAGAGCAACAGCAACGGCGGCGTCCACTGGAGGAGAACGTGGAGTATCAGCAGTGGGAATGAAGGAAGCAGAGAAGCGCAGTGGCTGAGGTCACGACTGCACCGCCCCCTCCGCCTGCAAGTGAGCGAGCGAGTGAGCGAGCAATCAGAATATTAAAAAAGCAATCGGATACCATGTGCAACAGATTGTGGAAGACAATCCGAACAAAGTGGAGGACCACGGTCTGGCAAAGCGAAAGATGGACGAGAAAATAGCCACCCCTTTTCCGTCCCCTTCCTCCTCCTCCTCGTCCGTGCTTCGTCCCCGCTCTGGCCCCCGGTCTCGTCCCCGTTCTTGTCCCCGTTGGCTTCCCTGACATCGATCTTGTTCTCGTGCTCAATCTCGTGCACCAATTATCTTTTGCATTCATTAGGATTTCATTTGTCGATTGAGGTGTGTTCCATCTAATTTAGCTCTATATCTGAGATCTTTCTCTGCCCGCCTTTGAAATGGCTCTGCCAGTGAGTGGCACGAGTGCAACCAAGAACAACAATGAGCAGAATTGGGTGAGCGATGAGCTGGACAAATAATGATAATGCTCTAAAACTTTACTGGCCCCAGTCCTTGAGCGGGTGTTTCACGAGCGAGATCTTAGATCTCTGTCCCAATGGACTCCTAAAATGGTTAACCAGACTAAATTCCACAGCCCCTCTATTTTGCATTCACGCTTGCCACGCTGGCAACTGCGATGTGTTTTCGTTCATCTTTTTCTAAGTTATCATCGTTCATCCATTAATTCTATCTATGGATGCCATGTTCTGCAACTAACCAATTGTCAATGAAATGGTTTGAGACTGTTGAGAATGTTTAGAAAAACACAAGAGTAATAGTAAGTCATATACACACACGAGAGTAGTAGTAAGTCATACACACAAGAGGGTTTCTAAGGAGAGAGAGAGCTTCATACATAAAAATCTGTTCATCTAGTTGTGTCTCATATACAAGAAGAGAAAAGAGGAGAGGATAAATAGTACTTCTCCACTAGACTCTAAATATTGTAGCTACAATATTTATTGTAGTCTACAGTAAATATTATGGAGAGCGTCGACTACATTTAATGATCTCAACACTCCTCCTTGCTCATCATAATATTTACATAATATAAAATTTGTATAGAATTATAATCTATACTTTTTTGTGATCTTGCAAGATCAACAATTGTTGCCTCATTAAAACCTTATCTAGAAAAACCTTATTTTATTTAAGGACAAAACCATAGATGAAGGAAAAAGAATACAACATCATTTTCTTTAATTATTTAAAGAGCCCATTAACTTTCTTATATAAGAAGAGCAAGTCGCCGCATACCAATGCCATAAGTAAGTCGACGATGGTTGTTTAATGGGAGAGCTTTAGTGAAGAGATCAACAAGATTATTTGTAGATTCAATTTTCTTAATTATAAGTGCTTGATCAGTAATCAAGTCATGGGTATAACTAAAATACTTTGGATCAATATGCTTTGTCCTGTTGCCTTTAATGAAACCAACTTGCATCTGTGGAATACAAGCACTATTATCTTCATACAAGATAGTTGGAGAATCATCATATGAAAATCCACAGGTTGTTTGAATGAATTTATCAATTGATCACAACCAAATATATTCTCGAGATGCTTCATATAAGGCAATAATTTCTGCATGGTTGGATGAAGTTGAAGTTATTGTTTGTTTCATTGATTTCCATGATATTGTAGCTCCATGTCTTAAGAATACATATCATGTTTGAGATTTAGCTGTTGCAATATCAGATTTATATCCTGTATTATAGTATCAAACCAATTTTGGATCTACGAATTGTGTGTAGTATAATCCGAAGTCTTCAGTACCTTTTAAATAATGTAATAAATATTTGATGCCATTCCAATATTGTAGTATTGGACATGCACTATGTCTTGCAAGAACACTAATTGCAAATGCAATATTTGATCTTGTAGATGTAGCTAAATACAAAAGTGCTCCAACCGCTACGAGGTATGGATATTGGTCTCCTAATATTTCCTCCTCCTCCTCGCATTGATGGTATGGATTATGACCATCACAACCATGTCCAACCATTGGTGTGGACAATGGATAAGCATCAATCATATTAAATCTTTGCAAGATTTGTCTAATATACGTTAGTTGGTAGAAAAAAATGCTACCATCTGTTAGATGCATAATCTGAAGACCAATGCAGAAAGTTGTTTTTTCTAGCATTTTCATCTCAAATTCACATATAAGTAGGTTTGTAGCTATAATACATGCAGATGTAGCACCCACTAGGTTAAGATCATCAATATATACAGCGATGATTACAAAACCAGTTTTATCTCGTTTCATAAACAAACAAGGGATTAGTAGATCACTTATAAACTTATTTGTAATTAAATAATCTCGAAGACGTTGATACCACATGCGTCCGGATTATTTTAAACCATACAAGGCCTTACATAATTTAATACCACGATATTTTCCTAAAGCGTGTCAATTTGAAGTTCATGTTTCTAAGCTAGGTGGAACTTTCATATAAATATTTGCATCAAGAGAACCATATAGATATACAGTTACTACATTCATCAGATGCATCTCAAGGGTGGCATGAATTGTCATTCCAATAATATATCGAAATGTAATTGAATCCATGACTGGAGAATATGTGGATTCATAATCAATGTCAAATCGTTCATTAAATCCTTGAGCAACAAGACAAGCTTTATAGCGGATTATTTGGCCTTAAGCATCTCGCTTGTATATTAATACTATTTTATATCCCATAGAGCGAGATGTAAGAGTGTCTATGATTGGACCAAAGAATTTCCTCTTACGCTCTCGTATTATGTACTTTCCTACTCGAGAACGCACCGGGCGTTTGGCTGTAGGAGGTAATATAGAGATTCGTTAATATTCAAGCAGTCTATCAGTTTTTGACTGTTGGAATATAAACGATTACAAGAATATATCGTAAATCTATATGGATGTCTTTCGACTGCTCGTCGAAATCCTTTTTGCCTTAGCCGGTAGGTCTCTAGACATTCCAAAGAACCCCGAACAACCCAATCTGCTAATCTTTGATACCGCTTTATACTCACGACCTTGTATCCACTGACTATCTTGTTAGATTAACCCAAAAATTTTCATTCACTCTGCATACTCAATCCTATAGATACCCTTTTAATTCTTCAATCACAGACGTAACTTTGATTTCACAAAACAGTCAAGAATAATCACACCCACTTCACTAAAATCCCGATTCACCAATACAACACATTGATCTTTCAGTATTGATTGCCAGAAGTTCTTTTTTCTGACCCCTACCCAAAAACCTTGTATCCTCCCTTTTTTTTAACCTCCCAAATTCCCAAATCTCTGAATCCTCTCCTCCACCCTAACCATTTCTAAATGTTTTTTTTTTTTTTTTTTTTTTTCCTTCCCTCTCAAACCTTAGCCTCTCAATTTCTTCAATCTTTCATCTTGGATTCGAAATTGGCTCCCGTTATCAGAGCTTTCTCCTCCATTTTTTGCCATTTAAAAGGTTCTTTTTCCAGAAACAACGTTCCCTGAATCGGCACGGAGAACAGGACAGCCTAAAACAGAATCAAAACCCCTATAATCAGGACCACATTGAGTCGCCCGAACAAATCAGGTCTCATATTGGCTAAGAGGCCCGTAGTAAGACTTGGATGTTCTCGTAATTGAGTCAAATTGGTCCTTCACATCAGGCTCACTCAGTCATCGATTTATTCCTCTCGATTCTATTGACTCCCACTATTGGACTCGAACAGAGCATTTCATTGTTGGTAAGTATGCCCTGACCGACTGTGATGGGGTGTTTGAATTGACCCCTGAATATTGGCACTAGAATCGGTCATTGCTCCCAATATTTGAGATAACTGAACATTAATAAAAGTCCCATTTCTTTATATTTTCACGGTATACTCGTATTACAACACGACATCCACCCCCTCTGAACCTGTGCATCCTCCGATATACACCAATTTATCCAATTGCTGTTTGATTTATAATATATTCTCTACGTCTTTGTCCAGTTCAACTTCGTCACCTTCATTATCCAAATCACTTTCATCTTCTTGCTGCAGAATCTCTATACCTTCATTAAAGTCTTCCATATTCATCCCCACATGTCTTTCTTTAAATATTTTTACTCGCTTCCTTGCAATTGGTATTTTCAATTTTGTACCATCTAACTCTCGTAATGAGTAAGTCGCATTATCATGAATAGTTGTTACTACATATGGTCCAAACCAACATTTTGAAAACTTCCGTAAAGTGCTATATTGGTTGTCCAGACTACTATCATAAACAAGTACCCAATCACCTTCCTCGATTACTTTAGGTCTCAATCGATGTTGCTTATCGAATCGCGCCTTGTTTTGTAACCTTGCTCTTTTTAATCTTTCCAATGCTATTTGCACATCTTCCGATCTTTGCTCTAATTGTCGAATCCTAATAGCCAGAAGTTCTTCTCTTATCAATCCAACTTTCCACGATAGCATACTCCAAGTAAGTACCTTTTCTTCAATCGGGATGATTGATTTTTGACTTGTCATAAGTTCTACTAGCATATATCCCATCACTGAACTATGTATTGTTCGATCAGTCCATAATGCAAATGACAAAAGCCGTGGCCACTTTCTAACTTTCCCATTACAAGCTTTAACTAATGCTTTCACAATCGGTGGGTGACCACATTCGCTTTTTGCATTCCCTTCCGGATTAAAAGCAGTAGTCAATGATAGTTTAACTCCACATCTTTCAAAGAACTTACGAGCTTCTTGTGCATTTAATTCTCCACGATATGCAGTGATTTTTCCTACGCATCCGTAGCGGCAAATGACATCTTCAAGCAAAAACCTACAAATCCCCTCTGTAGATTTTGTCCTCAATGCTCTTCCTTCTACTTGATTTGATAAATCTTCACGAGCTAAGACCAAATATCTCATCTGCCATAACCCAACTGGCATAATAACTAAATCAACAACCCATTTAAAATGAATAGCCAGAGGATATGTAGGATGAAGACCATCTCGATGTCGGATATTAGAATACGATTGACAGATTTCACATGACTCTACAAATGAGAGCACATCTCAATACATATTTTTCCACCAATATCGTTCCTTGAGTTTAGCAAAAGTAGCCCAG